GGTAGATCCTGTCACGCATCATGAACTTGAGTGATGTGCTTGGCTTGGAGATCCAAGCAGTCTGCTGGTCCTCTGAGCATGTCAACTTGAAGTTGCCCTTCGTTTGTAGGTAGCCCTCCTACGTGGACTGTCGATTCGGGATGCACCCGCCATGCTGCCTACCAGGAATCTTGGTTCAAGGAGATCCGGCAGTATGACGGCGCCATCATGGTTGGCGGCAAGAAGCAATTACCTATTCGCGGCATCGGTGATATCATCCTTGAGGTGGTCGACTCCGAGGGTACCACTCGCCAGCTTGAGTTCTGCGATGTGCTTTTCGTGCCGGACATGAAGTTCAATCTTCTGTCTTTCGCTCAGGTACTGAAAATGGGCATTCAGCTCGTCTTCAGCCGCACGAGATGTACGTTCTTCGTGAGCAAGGATTACAAACTTCAAGTTGAGCTCGCGGCCGACATGGACTTGTTCCAACTCAGGGCCAAAACGCCACCCAAGAAGCCTCCAAACGCGCTCATGGTCTCGGATTCTGCGGACGACAACCCCGTCAACGCCTTAGTGACTTAGCCAGGTATGGACCCTAATGTCTTATTGTGGCACAAACGTCTCGGTCATCCTAACTTTCGTGTGATGCAGACCATGTCTAAGACCCAAGCGGCTCCTGAACTAGCGTTCTCCCAAGCATCTGCGATCCCCAAACACTTCTGCACTTCGTGCATCTTTGCTAAAGCGCATCGTGCTCCTTTCAATAGCAATGTGTTTTGCTCAATAGATCCTCTTGACAAAGTTCATTCTGACATCAATGACCCCTTGCCTTACCCCAGCCTAAGTGGTGCTCACTACTGCATCACGTTCATCGATGACTATTCGCACTTCATGCACCTATATGTGGTGCGCACAAGTCTGACTTGTACGATTGCTATGAAAAGTTTCGAAGGGCACCAAGAACCGTTTTAACTTGGGATCAGCTGCAGCAACAGCTTTTGCGCGTGTTCGCGCCGCCTAATCAGGCGTACCGTATCCGGTCTTCGCGTCGAACGTCTTCCTCTAACGCTAAAGCTACGGCCGCCCCGCTGCACTTGGTAGCACTTGTAGTCAATCCCGCTCCTGGGTCGGTTGACTATATCCTCTGCGAGGATGGAACACCCCGTGTTCGTGAATTTGCCCCCGGCGCAGCAGGGACGCGCTTACTAAGCTTATGTCCTTGCTTGGCCCAGAGGGCGTGGCTCATCTTGCGTCGCAAGGTCCAGATGCGGTCACCGCCAGGCTGAAATCGTTCTCACGCTACGAGAACGCGCTCTTGGAGCACGCCTAAGAGAAGATGAGGGCCGCAACGGAGGCGGCGTTGATGACGCGTGAAGCGTCTATGAGACTGAAACTGCTCATGGTGAGCGTAAAAACCTTCGAGGGGAAGAACGGAGAGAATCTCCTTCTCTTGACCCGTGAGGTCGAGATGGACATGGGATCGGCCCTACTCCAGTCTGAGTATCAGCGCGTGGCGCTGGCTATCTCCAGGCTTGGAGGTCGCGCTCCGAATGGGTACTAACGTGCGGCACGTTTGTTGACGCTGCATTTCTCACTTGGGATCAGCTGCAGCAACAGCTTTTGCGCGTGTTCGCGCCGCCTAATCAGGCGTACCGTATCCGGTCTTCGCGTCGAACGTCTTCCTCTGACGCTAAAGCTACGGCCGCCCGGCTGCACTTGGTAGCACTTGTAGCCAATCTCGCTCCTGATTCGGTTGACTATATCCTCTGCGAGGATGGAACACCCCGTGTTCGTGAATTTGCCCCCGGCGCAGCAGGACGCGCTTACTAAGCTTATGTCCTTGCTTGGCCCGGAGGGCGTGGCTCATCTTGCATTGCAAGGTCCGGAGGCGGTCACCGCCAGGCTGGAATCGTTCTCACGCTACGAGAACGCGCTCGTGGAGCACGTCCAAGAGATGATGAGCGTCGCAACGGAGGCGGCGTCGATGACGCGTGAAGCGTCTATGAGACTGAAACTGCTCATGGTGAGCGTAAAAACCTTCGAGGGGAAGAACGGAGAGAATCTCCTTCTCTGGACCCGTGAGGTCGAGATGGACATGGGATTGGCCCTACTCCAGTCTGAGTATCAGCGCGTGGCGCTGGCTATCGCCAGGCTTGGTGGTCGAGCTCGCGAATGGGTACGAACGTGCGGCACGTTTGTTGACGCTGCATTTCTCACTTGGGATCAGCTGAAGCAACAGCTTTTTGCGCGTGCTCGCGCCGCCTAATCAGGCGTACCGTATCCGGCCTCGCGTCGAACGTCTTCCTCTGACGCTAAAGCTACGGCCCGCCCCCGCTGCACTTGGTAGCACTTGTAGTCAATCCAGCTCCTGAGTCGGTTGACTATATCCTCTGCGAGGATGGAACACCCCGTGTTTGTGAATTTGCCCCCCGGTGCAGCAGGACGCGCTTACTAAGCTTATGTCCTTGCTTGGCCGAGAGGGCGTGGCCTCATCTTGCATCGCAGGGTCCCAGAGGCGGTCACCGCCAGGGCTGGGAATCGTTCTCACGCTACGAGAACGCGTCTCGTGGGAGCACGGTCCAAGAGAAGAGGAGCGCCCGCAACGGAGACGGCGCTCGATGACGCGTGAAGCGTCTATGAGACTGAAAACTGCCTCATGAGTGAGCGTAAAAACCTTCGAGGGGAAAGAACAGAAGAGAATCTCCTTCTCTGTACCCCGTGAGGATCGAGATGAACATGGGATCAAGCCCCTGCTCCCAGTCTGAGTATCAGC